TTATCGAGTTAAACACAATAAATCATAGGTAGACTAAGGCAACTAAATGTTGAATTTTGCCGGTTTCAGTCTGTCTTACTCCTTATTGATATACTCCTGATGTTATATTATATATTTAGATAAATACTCACAGATTTGTCAGATTTTGAATATATTTGTTAGTGTATGAAGTAATAATTTATCATGGAAATGTGGGATAATAGGACTGTGACTTTACAACAGAAATGCATTTACAGACAAGCCTGTGTTAGCATTCACCTCTATAGAACAGACACCTGTCTATAAAGGACACTTAGGGTTTCCCTTCAGTGACACTTATACCGCGAAATCCCCTCTCTATACATCGGACACCTGTCCATAAAGGTCATTTCCGGAGGAATTCCGACTAGCGACCCTTATACGCAGGCTCGACCGAGCGCGGCTCACCGGCGAGCAGCGGCCGATGTTCGGTGCGATCGTGAGAACCGGTCGCGTCGCCGACGTCGACGACGCTGCTGTGATCCTGATGAAATGCGTAGGAGTCTGACGACGGGTGTAGGTCTGCCACTGATGCCGTCCCCGCCACCGCCGCTGACGACGTCTGCGTGGGAGGTTGCAGGTCGGCCTTCGCCGCCAGCCGCTGCTCCTGAGGTTCGTCGATCTGAAGGGAAACGTTAGCGAAATCGCATGGTTGGTCGTACCAGTCGAGGTAGCGTTGCATCCCGCAAAGTGTGTGCATGTGTGTGTGTGTGTGTGTGTGTGTGTGTGTGTGTTTGTGTGTGCGTGTGCGTACGTGCGTGTGTGTGTGTGCATGTGCGTGTGTTTGACTGTTTGCGTGCGTGCGCGCGTGCGGGCGTACGTGTGTGTGTGCGTGCGCGCGTGTGATGCACGCCAGCAATGGTCGAATATGTGGAGGAGAAACATAGATATGTTTCCCGGCTAAGTACTTCTTAGCTTCTAATATGTCTGGCTTCTTCTAGTACTACTAATATAAATACTACTAGGAGCATATAGCAGCATGGAAGCACAGGTACCCATATGTCGCTCCGGGAGGTTTGTCCATCCGACCAGGGACATTAATGAAATACATACCAGCTAATATAGAAGCAGTTGAACACAGACTGCAAAGTAATACAACACACTGACAACTGGAATCTGATGACGAGATCGCAATTTAATTTATTCCTTGTAAGTATTCGATGGAATGTGATAGAAATCGTTCGATTTAATCACACAGTATAGTTCCCGCAAACTTCCTCGTTAGAGATGACAGTAACACGAGAAAAAGTTGCAATAATACATTATGGTAATATTTGTCTCTTGAAGAACACAGTTGCCCTTTCTCCCGAGAACAGTAAAATTTCCGACAGGAGTTAATAATTCCTAATCTAGCTCGATAGAAAATTACCATCATCCACAGCATAGATAATTAATTCCCCATGTTCACCGACTATATCATATCACGGAATAATGTCACAGGCTTTCATTTCATCATATAAAACAATTTAATGACGAGATGAGTCCGATATATTTACTGGAGCGATAGACAACCAATCAGCCATAATGGCTTCCAAACAGATCACATCCTCGATATACATTTCTACGAGCTACATCGACGCCATACCATGTAAAAAAACACAAACAGCTCACCAGTGGTAATCCGAGGCCCACTCGTGACCAGTTCACCTGCGACAGCATGTTACGAAGCTGGTCGGCTATTGGCGACGCCTGGTTGCTTGGTGGAAAGATGCACTGCGTGCAGCTAGGGCACTGATAACCCGCCGGAGCCGTGTTCGCCGGAAACTGTTTCGCGTATTTGTTCAGACACCCCCAGTGGAACACGTCTGAAAGATGTCAGTAGGGAAACATTAAAGATAGCTGACAGTGGTTGATTTTTACGTGAAACCTATTCGAGTAAAAGTGAAATCAGTCTGTGTGAATATCTGTCACTAATATCTTCATCAATATCTTGCATGGAAGTCACAGAATTGATTCACAAACTGTGTTTTTATGTCCAATTATATTAGTATCATCAAGAGTCTATCAATATTGATAGACTCCTGGTATATATATATAAATATATGCCATTTATAATTAATTGTGCAGACATTTACATATTCTATCATCTCTGCTGAGACAATGTGCGTGTTTTACACTGCTACCACCTTGCATTTTTATGTGAGTGCCTCACCAAGACATAATAGCCTGATCACATCTTCCCCTTGCATCGTTTGACCACACAGCACACAGTTTGGGTTGTAGTCACTGTCTTGTAGCCATTGTAGGTAGGACTGAACCACACACTGAAACAAAATCAATATATCTCACTTTGTTGCGCTGATGCCAGTATACAATTTATATATAGCACATGCAAAAATAATAATACACAAAAACTGGAGTAATAATAATGTATAAATATATAGTTAGACTAAGGAAAGATGCATTTTATTCATCCTGTAGCTAAATAATATGCCCTTTTAAAAACACACTACATCATGCAAGGATTATATATTAGATTATATCCTACAAGGCAGAAAATATTTGCATGTTTGAATTCACTACAAAATGCACCTTTACATAAAAATGGTTTGTATCATGTGATAGTTATGGCATACTCTATGGCTATTTTTCAAAAATATTAATTATTTATAATTTTATACCAGTGATGACGTATATATGTAGTTATGAAGAGCTGTCGGATATTGAAACAATGTTTGATTAATATTATGTTCACTTTTTCATTATTATTCCCTACAGATGGCACCACAAGACCACATTCATGCAACGTATGCGGTGCCTGCTGTTACTGACTCACAGAGTTACACAAGACACACTTCGAATATATCACCTTGTAACTAACTATTCGGCACCAATGTCCCTAGGGTTGGCTTATAGCAAACTAGATGGAAATTTACCTTTCAGATTACCAGATTTGCCCGGCTGAGATTTCAAGTTCTGTCAAAACTATTTACCACATAGTACATAAAAGAGTAAAGTGCTCAAAAGCTTCACTGTGTTGCTTGCTGTAATGGGGCAAGCTATAATAAATTTGCATGACACTGTTAATTACATTATAACATTAAAATTTCATTACTTATCAAGTTAGCCAAAATAGATACTGCTAGAAGCAAATAAGTTATTCCAAAGATTGAAATATATCAAATAAAATCAAACTCCTACTATATCCTAGTATGTGTTCTTTGGCTCACCTAATCATTCCACTTAAACACTCCTCAAAAGTCCCTGTGCAATGTGTTATTACAACAGGAGAATTTCTACCACAGTTGTTCTCATTTATGGGTCAGGTAGAAAAGTGTGAGCAACTTACATGATTTTTCTCTTGATTTCACACATTCAGTATACCCACAATTAGGGATCTAATCAGCTTTTTTTATTCTACTTTATTTATTTTCTTTTATTTTATTAGTTTTATTAAGTTTTTTTTATTCTACTTAGTTAACTTATTTTATAGGCTATTAAGTTGGTTTTTAAGTTAGCTTATTTAGTTATTTTATTAGTTGAGTGTAGATGTAAATTTCATTGAAGTTGGTATAACTTGTTTTACTATACTAATTTCAGTAGTGTTGCAGGTCAAGATTTTATCAGTTGTCAAAATTATGTAACAGATTGTAGATAAGAGGGTAAAATCTGTCAGTATTAGAATTCCCTTATGTAGCCAAGCTGATATGAATTTGCCAATAACAGCACTTACGGCTGAGTTGTAATAAAAAGCAGTTGGGAGTTTTTCATTTTGGCAGCTATTCGTACATTATCAATGTTATACAAGAGCATATAAGTGGTAAAGTTAAATGACTAGTTGGCTACAGACCGCATAAACCGCATCGCTAGTACCATGTTACCGGAGACACAAACCCTATTGCTACATATTGCCCTATTAATATTGTGCTACCTTGTGCTACGACACGCTGCCGCATGTCACTGGTAACGCCCTTACCCACATACATACTCACACCCATAAAGTAACTGCAACAAAGATTAATTTCTTGTAATTCCCTGAAACGGTAGAACTAGGAGCTCAGTACTACATCAGTACTAGCTATAGTACCACAGCCCTTATTGCCACAGGTGCACAATGCACATGCAGGGGTCGAAATTAGCGGTATCCCGATATCCACGAGATAGTAGATTCTTGTGTTGGATACCAGATTTCAATGCTTGGTATCCCGCCAGGATAGTAAAAAAAAATCGTCAAAATCGGGATAGTGGTTGCTGAGCATATTTGCAAGCGCAATTGTAAAGCTGGGGGCACACGAGCATATTTTTTCGCCCGATCGCAACGATTAAAATCGCCAGCGAATTTATACGCCCGATTACGACGGGGCACACATAGCGAATTTGAGAGCGTACGCGTACGCCACTCGACGGAATCACATGATCACATGATGGATCACATGATATCAACAACACGTCCAATGGGTTTAAAAAAATCGATCGCTCGACAAAATACGCCGGACACGGGCAGACGAGCGAATTTGCCAGCGGATCAATCCGCCGGCGTAAATAATCGGCCGAAAATATCTAACATTTTTGATACAGGCGATTCGTACGGGCGTACGAAATTGTCGTCGACGTGAACGGGCACACAAGCGAATTTTTTGAGCGATTTTAAAATTCGCCGCGATCGGGCGAAAAAATACGCTCGTGTGCCCCCAGCTTAAGGGTAGCCGATGTTGATCATAAATGTGATGTGTATACATTGTATCAAGCAAACCAGACAATGTGTCTAGACAATACGTCTGCAGTGTACTTGTCTGTGCATATCTGTGAATCTGTTTTCATGTTTTTATATAATAATTACATTACAAATTAATAATTTTCAAATGCTATTATTGCATATTTCAAGATTTTGGATCCAACATTGTTGAAATTACTATCCAAAAAATGGGATCCCAGATCTTTGGGGGGGATACCGTACCAGATTTCAATACCTGGTATCCCGAATGGATACCATAATAAAAATCTAATTTCGACCCCTGACATGTGGCACTTATGGCACCTGGCTGTGACACACCTGTGACTGTGGCAACAAGGGTGATAGTACTAGAGCAACATCAGTACTAACCCGACCAGGCTGTGTGACTAACGTCAATATACACAAAGGTCTCCTAATCTTAGCAAAGACCGTTTCTTGGAGCTACATCAGTACATAATGATGATCATCATCAATGTCAATGACCAATGGCAATGTGAATGTTAAATCTTTCCCGCACCTACATACGCATAGCGTATAGCTACAGGCGCATAGGGTGATGCCTATCCCCGTTTCTGTAACCCTGAGGCCCCGCGGCCGCAGCTGCTTTCACAGTAAATGCTACAGTAGGGGGTTAGTCCACTGTAGCCACAGGCACATGAAGCATTTCAACTGTAAACACACGCCGACGCCATTGCACGCACACTGACACATAAATATAGACTCTATATTTATGTGTCAGTGTGCGCGCAATGGCGTCGGCGTGTGTTTACAGTTGAAATGCTTCAAGCGCCTGTGACTGTAGCACTGCAAGTTAACTTGCTACACTCTATCTCTATTTGCTGAATGCTAAGCAGAGAAGCCGTGTGTACCATTTTTCAAGTCTTTGGTATGACCCGGCAGGGAGTTGAACCCCCGACCTTCCACATACGAGGCGTGCACTCAACCTTCCACATTTGCAATGTGAATGTATCATGTTGTAGGCCTAATGTAAGTTATACTTACGCTCTTATGATTGTTGACTAAACAGTGCTCACACACGTTTACTCTGTGCTCAAAACAAAATAAATTTGTCACTTTCTTTTTGGAACATTTACAAAGACCCATTATAAATATTTCTTATGGTACTCAATGAAATGACATCAAAACAATATCATAACCCTCAGTCATAACCAACTACGAGTACGTGTATCAAAGTTTGCGTATGCTAGTTTGTTTCCGGATGAACACGCATCATTTCCGGGTTTACGGAGCACACGGGTAATGTCCCTCGGACACATGTTTTTGTAGCTTTCTAAGAGTTTTATATTTTGATACTAATTTAAATTAATTAATCTCTACATTTTGCATCTAAATTTATAACTATATTGTATAGATTTTTTTTACATTATTGTCATTTATTTAACAACTGACCGCAATTTGTGATGAATCAAGTATGTCTGCGCCCATGCATATGTTCGTGTGTATTTTAGCACATGTGTGATTTGGACTGTATAATGTAATATACGGTATATTATTGGTTAGGATATCATTGGTTATACGTAAGACAATATAGCCAATCAGAGGAATAAAATAGGACTTTGTAGGTTTGTAAACGCGTATATTTTTTAATGGGAGCATAAACATTGAACCTTGAAGTTGCACTGTTGCCACTA